TTGACAGAGAGAGAGAGAGCAGGAGGAGGGGCAGAGGGAGAAGCAGGCTCCCCGCTGAGCAGGGAGCCCCATGTGGGGCTCGATCCCAGGACCCTGAGATCATGACTGAGCTGAAGGCAGACACTTAACCGACTGAGCCACCCAGGTGTCCCTCTTTTTTATTCTTAAAATTAAAAAAAAAACCTGGTTCAATGTATTTGAGTGTGGTCTCTTTTAATTCATTTGGTCTAAATCTACTTTTCAGATTCACTTTAAAAAAAAAACTCCTCAACCATGGAATCTTTTATCTTATATCTCCTTAATTTATCCAGCTTTCTTCCTTTTTTTTTTACCCAGGTTTTTTATTTGTTGTTCACATATTTCATCTCTGCTCCCTGACTTTTATATCTACTATCAATTTGTGTTTATCATCTCTTTGTTTCTTTGGTACTCTTAATCTGTATTCCCAGAGAACATCTCAAATTGGTCCTCTCCAACAGTCCTCTCAAAGGCTGGTCTGTAGAGGGTTACCAGACAGAATGCACCACCTGAGGAGTTTGTTAAGAATGGTTTCTCAAACCCCATCTCCGGGATATTTACACCCTTTTAAAGGTGATGAGAAATGGGGAAACCAAGAAGGAAATTCCAGATTAGCAGGAAGCATAAGCAAAACCCCAGATGTGGGAAAGAGTTATGCATGGCATTGAGTGCTAGTGGTGGAGAGGGAACAAGTGGTCGGGAGCACTTTGAGGAGGGGCCTGGGCAAGGTCATGGAGGAACATTTATGTCATACCTGTGGCAGAGGTAACACTCTGTATATAAAAGTCAGCAAGATATTTTACATTTAAAAATACTGAAATGGGTGATGGTGGTCAAAAGGTACAAACTTCTAGTTATAAGTTAAATAAGTCTTGGGGGTGTAATGTACAGCATAATAACTAGAGTTAACAATACCGTATTATATATTTGAAAGTTCTTAAGACAGTAAATCTTAAAAGTTCTCATCCTAAGAAAAAAAGGATGTAACTATGTGTGCTGCTGGATGCTAACTAAACTTATTGTGGTAATTATTTTGCGATATATACATAAATCAAATCATGATGTTGTACACCTAACACTAATACAATCTTATATGTCAATTGTATCTCAATTTTTAAAAGAGGGAGGAAAATACCAGAATCCCCAGAACTAAGGAGTCAAAATGGAAAACAAGCATCTCAGTGTTCCACTGCCCCAACTTCCTCAAAATATTGAGTATTTGCCCCAGTCCCCCTCATATCTTATATCCTGAATATCTGTAATAAGATTGTTCATGCTTTGTACTTAGGAAGAAGGCATGTTAAGTGTACTGGAGCACCCTTTCTGTGTGAGCCACATATTCAATTATGACCCTCACAACTAATAAATGAGCTCTTGCAAAGAATTGCTCTCAAAAATAACAAAAAAATTCTTTGAAATAAGTGTGTATATTACACATAACACAACACAGTTAGGACCAACCACATTTCAGATGCTCAATAGCCACATGTTGTTAGTGGCTACTGTATAAGACAATGCAGTTCTAGCTGTACCTGATAATCGGTTAGAATTTCTTTCTTCCTTCTTTTCTTTCTTTCTTTCTT